AGAGAGAGAGAGAGAGAGAGAGAGAGAGAGAGAGAGAGAGAGAGAGAGAGAGAGAGAGAGTGCAATGACTTGCTGTTTCTGGTCGCCTGTATTCTCTCTCTGTCGAGGCTGTACCCTAGGTAGGATAGATTCTTAATTTTGTTTGGCTGAGGGCTAACCGAGTGACCTGCCTGTAAGGAAAATTTGTGAGGGACATATCTGTAGATATAGGAAAATACAGGCCCGTACTAACTGAATTTCCTACAGCTATCCTAACTGCGAATAGCAGACCCGGGCTACCCCTAGGACAGACAGGCCGTAAAGGGCTAAGCTTATAGACGGTCCTATAGCCTATAGTCGGGTTGGGAGAGGCCCTAGAGGCCGAAACAGAAACGGTACCGGTCGGTCAGTCAGTCCGGTCTAGGTCGAGTCTAGGCTAGAGTAGACTACAGATAGGTTGGGCACATCGGTTCAGGGCTTTTGGCAGTTGGTACCGAGTACATTGCTGCTTCGCTACTCCTGAACCGGAAGTGGTGACGGCTCAGCGTTGTGGGAGACGGACATAGCCAGACCTTCGGAGCGCCGGCCATAGCTGGGACCTGCGCTGTTCTCTGTCAGCACGTGGGGCTGAACAGAGGTCTGGGCTATTGAGGTCTGCTGGAGGCGAGAGAAGTTGGTGCCCTGCTGGACCCTCCTCCGGAGTGGGGTCACAGGGTTGTGTCGCTGCCAGCCATAGCTGCAGCTTCCTCCTCAGAGGTCATCTTGTCAGGATGTGGTGGCGCTGCTGCAGACTTCCACCCGGGAAGTCTTCCGACACTTCGTCATCATCAGATACTGTGGCGCTGCTCTTCTTCTTCATCCTCGGAGTGGCGCTTGGCCTCAGAGGCCTGTTTCAGGGTGGCGCTGCTCTCTGAGGGCAGTGATTGGGTGGCGCTTGATGTTTCAGGGGCTCAAGGGTGTTACGAGTGGGTACTCAGGGTTGGGGAGTGAAGCGCTGTTCATTTCTGAGCAGCGGACTGTAGGTCTGAAGTTATTCTGACAATTTGAGACTCTGAGTTTAATAAACAGTGTAATATTGGGTTTCGATTATCATCGTTTCATTGTTTCCTGGATGTGATCTACTCGGCTTTCCTTTATGACTGGTTGTGAGGATTGAGTGGAGTGAATTGCACTTTCAGTGTACCCTGTCATATCGCATGGTTAAGTCTTCCGCTGTGTTTCTCTCGCCCTGTGCGGTGTGATACTCCTATCCTCTCCCCTTCCTTCTGTGTATGTATGGGCATACCTGGAAGTTTATGTGAGTGGGTGTTGGTCTTCAGACAACGAACAACCAGAATCATAACAGAGAGAGCAATCAGGAATGGCCCATCATATTTGTTTTTGCAAGCGAAGCCGCACCAGCTACCCTTGTATTATCTTATATGACCAGTGGGGCAGGTGACTCCCAGTCGATGAGCCTGTTTCATGTGGAGGTTGCGGGCTGGCCTCGTAATGACCTCCCTACTCTTAGGCCAACCTCAAAGAAAACTTGTGGTGGTTGGTCTTGCTATCGGAATGCTGTCTTGGGGGCTGATGATGCGCAACAGCTCCATGGAATTAAAAAAATACATTGAATATCCACCGAACATTGGCATGAATGTGGCCCGCAGAGTACTATGTCGTTTGTGGGGTGGCTGAACTTTGACTCGTCCTGGAGATTTGGAATGGTGTGCATAAATTTCATCGCAGTTGGTGACATTGGTGTACACTCGCCCCGTGATCCCGTGAGAGTCTAGAAGTATAGCGCGCTGCGGGGCCAGAAGCTTGTTTTGATCCTGGACCTTCGCGTACAGACTTACAACCTTGTCGCTGGCACATGCAGAGCCGGAGTTGCTGGCAAGATATGGCCTGCCTGCGACGGGAGTTTGTTTTAGCTCTGAAGGCAACTTGTCCTTGCTGCGACATGAGAGGCGCAGTAAATGGGGAGCTAGAAGAAGTGATATGAAGAACGGTTTCAGTGTGCTCTTCGTGTTTGTTGTCTTTATTTTTGCCATTTGTTTTGCAATGTGTGCTGTTGTAGCTGATAGAGATGTGACTGTGACAATAGTCATCTGTAAATTACTGATTTGCATCCTTGTCCAGTGCTAAGAAGGCCCTGTATCATAGCGTATCCATATAGAGGCATGATAAGCATGCCCTGATTAATTGCTGGCCTGAACAGAAGTGGGAACGGAGATGGTGGAAAACTCGAGTGTCGCACATCAAAACGGGCAAAGAAGTTCTTTGAGAAGATGTAACAGGGTATTGTGGTATGCCGATCTGCAATGCCATCCTCCTCCCACGTGCTGTGTTTTGGGGGCGTGGTGTGGGGAGGTGGAGTCCCTGTCCAGTGTGCATGGAATGTCTGCCTTTTGTGTGCTGTCTTTATTTGGCCACTGCACTTGACGACAATTGCGTTGAGCCATTGGTGCTATTGTGGTTAATGACCGTAAATCTGTGTTTTGTGATGCCAGGTATGAAGGATAGTACCAACGGGCCTAGCGCCGCTGGCACACCCGTAAACTGTTGAAATACAGACCTGAGTTCGAATCCAGATGGAACTTGATGAACAAAGATTCCTTAATAACGAGGATCAACGAAAGGGGTATCAGGTATGGTAAGCTGCTGTCGCGAAGTCATTCATTGCAAATGAGGTCGCATGTGCCAAGACCCGATCACGGCCTGCATTGTCGCCTTGCTCTATCAGCATCGGCATGGTCATGCCAGTTTTGTATGTCTGACAGAAGTGATGGAATGCAGCACTCGGTCGTCATAGATTCATCACACAGACCGCCCAAACAGGTAAATAGTGGGAATACCTGCTTGCCATGAAGTGGGCATGAAGGGGAAGGGGGGGGGAGGGGGGGGGATGTGGACAAAGGGATGTGTACCGATCAGGAGGTTCCTGCCATCTCACAACTGGCTGTGACAAATAGTTCTTGCTGCCAAGAACCAAGACTGATGTTTCATGGCGACCCTCCTGAAGCCTAGGAGGTTGGCAAATGGTCTGCTAAGCCGTGTGGCTTCTACAGGATCAGTGGTTCCGTGTGGCATCTTGCAAGTGCTCTGCTCATGAGCCGTGGGGCTTCTTCAGGACCAGTGGTTCAACGTGGCGGCATCTGACGACTTGCTGTGACAAGTAGTTCAACGTTGCCAAGGTTGACGAGTGATGTTTCGTGCAGAGCCTCTGGAAACCCAGGAGGCTGGTGTTAAGTATGCGAGTTCTACAGGACCAGTGAAGTTGTTCAGTGTGGCGGACACAGTTTCAGCGGCAGGAGTAACAAAGCTGCCTCGGTTTTGGAATTAATTGTGTGTGAAGTTGTGAACGAAAAAAAAGCGAAAGTGTGCGACTGCTACGATGCTGATTAGACAGCTCAGGGAAGGCGTGGCATAGCGGAGAGAGGGTCGACCGCAAGATTGGAGGGTAGGGCAGGAGCTTGTAGGGTAAATTACCAAATTGTGTGGTCGGCGCTGCGGGTGCGGAGATGTGCAGGACGGCAGCGAGGCAGAATGAGAGAATGTCTGGAACTGAAGTGGCGGGGCCTTCTTCAGGATCAGCGAACCGTAGGGGGGTGGTAAATTGCACGGTGGGCCTGGCGGGTCCTTAAGGACCTTGTTGGGGGAGGAGTTATGCGTTCCTAATTGTCTGACAGCTGTGGTGAAGGACAGGGTTGCTGGTGTTTTCGGTGTATTGATGTGAAAGAAAGTTGCTCCAGAAACAAGAGATGGAAGAAGGGTTAATTTGACGGGGGTGTCAACGGGTAGAAAAACTACCTCACCGCCTGGCTGCACGAGAGGGTAAGCGCGAGCAGGTAGATTCGAGATGCACAGCAGGACGTTTGGTTCCAGTCAATCCCCTCTCTTTGCCACCATCGGTCTGCATCCGGTTCACTTTGGTATGGCCGGCAAAACCGTGAGAAGTTTGTGCTCAAGGGTGTGTAGACCATTCATGTTGAATGAATGCTTCTACTATTAATCAGTTGAGAGGGGGGCTTCAGTGGCATTTATAGTCGATCCCCTCTCTATTTGACACCTCCAGTTTGTGTTCAGTTCGCAATGTACGATCTGAGTCATCTGACACTTACCAATTGATACTCTTTGAGACATGGGTGGCTGTCCGCTTGATGCCGCTACCATTTCAGTCTTTGTGCTCTGCTACGTGTGCTATCTCAGGCGCCTTCAGAGTTATTTCCTGCGGGAAATGCACAGCGACAAACGTGGACAGGTGCACGTAAAGGCGGCCTGGCACGTGAGCTGCTCTGCTGTGTGTGCTGCTAAGGCACTTTTCGTGACAAGCCACCTATCGATGAATGAATGCTGCATTTAGATGGCGGCGGCATAAGAGAATGCGAGGATGTGTTTCATGGGAATGGCTGGTTCCAGCAGGCAGGTCAGTGGTAAGTGTTGGTAAGAAGGTGAGAAAGGTGGAGAGGGGAGGGGAGGGGAGGGGAGGAGGGGTCTTTTGAATGCCTGTGTGCCATCGTCATTAGTCAGTCTAGATTTACTGCTGCTACGCCGCCAGTACTACTTTTTGACTACATACTCGTACCACTACTGCCACTCACTGCTGGTTTTGTGGCAGAGTCTACTGCTACTGTACTGCGCCATGAGAATGCGAGTCATGTTTGTAGAGCGACAGGTCACGGTTCCGTTGCATGGCGTGTGTGTGTAGCTCCTCTATATATCATCTGAAAGGTCCTGTCTTGTTGTTGCTGCCGATGTGATGTTCTACTTCTACAAGTTTACTGCAAATTGCATTGCAAAGCTGTGTGTTAGTCTTCATTTCGCTGAAGCAGCGTCATCATCGTCGGTGGTCTCGGCGTCCCCTGACCATTGACGGCGCTTCAGCGACCCTTGACAGTGCTAGTTTGCCTGTTCGTTTTGCAAACGAACTTGCTGGCGTGTGACCTGGCGTGAAGTTTGTGTTTTTTTTTTTTTTTTTTTGAATTTATCATCTGGAGCAGCAGTTGGCGTGCGGTTGAGCTTTGGAGGCTTCTGTGCTTCACAAAACAAACTGGGCAATCTCGTGATGGAAAATGATGGAATGCCATCATTTCATCCATCCTCGCGGTTCATTGCCTTAGTTCGTCCGCGTAGTGTTGTTGTCTTGATGAACCACATGGCACTAAAATGGGGTGTCCACTGTCCTTTCCTTTTCCTTCCTTGGGAGCGGTTCTTAGTTTTGAGTGAGGGGTCTGTTAGGGTTGTTAACTTGTTAGTTGCATTGATAAATAGCAGTGGAATGTTGTCAACTTGTCACAGCCTCACAGGACTGTTGTGGCACTAGTACTCTGGCCATCCAGTCGACTGTGGTTTCTCTCTTGTACATAATTCGTCTCCTTTTTCTCTGAGCTTGTGATACCTCAGAAATTCTCCGAAGTCCGTTTTCTTCGTCGGTGTTCTTGCGATTAAGCTTTTTTTTTTTTGTTTTTTTTTGTTTTTGCTCTACTTCAATGCAATTCCTCTCTTATTTGCTTTACCCCTGTCTCTTCCTTGCCTGCCTCTGTCAGAAGAAGGGGCACTGGATGTGTTGATACACTTTAAAAGGTGGGTGATCTCTACCGATATGTTGTGTGGTTCAGATTGATCTGTAGTGAAATGTGCTGTGTGCCTCAGGTGCATTCTGGCAGCGAGTGACCTGTCATCAAATATGCTGAATTGCAGTGACATCCATGGGATGAACCCTCGTGCTCAGGAGTAAGTACTTGCATTGCTTACTTGTGAAAGAACGACCTGTCATCGAATATGTTGAATTGCAGTGACATCCATGCATGGGATGAACCCTCGTGCTCAGGAGTAAGGTACTTGCATTGCTGACTTGTGAAAGAATCTCCTTAAACCACCACTAGTACCTCCGAGCCTGTTTTTGCCGACCCTGAGTTTCACTGCACACCGAAGTTTGCTGAGTCTGGGTCCCATTGTATTCTCTTTTCTGGTACCCGTCGGGGAAAAAGAAAAAAAAAGAAAAAAAAAATAAAAAACACAGAAACGGAAAAAAGCAAAGACGTATACAGAACATTGGGTACACGTGAGAGTCTGCCAAAGGGTGTTGCTCCCCTCAGCAAAACACAGCAATAGGAAAAGGAAAAAAAGAAAAAAAAAAGGAAAAAGAGCAAAACACAACTCTTTGGACGTGAAAGCAGCTGGATACAGAACATTGGGCACAAGTGAGAATATGCCCTCCCAACGGGCGTCACAGCCCTCGGCGCACACGGATGTACGGAAAAACAAAAAACAAAAAAACAAAAACAGCAATGACTCTTTGGACGTAAAAGCAGCTATGTACAGAATCTTGAGGCCATGTGAGAGTGCCCCGTTGGTTGCAAGTGTCAGTCAGTTGTCCGTGGAAAGCGCCCTGCCTCGTCAGCAGGGCACTAAAACTAACTAAGAAAACAAAAACTGTGTGGGGATCCGGGCCGCCCGGGTGACCGGCAGCGGCCGGGGGGAGGTCCCGGGCGGCCTGGCCGGGCAGGGCACCCGGTTGGGGGCCGGGCCTCCCCAGCGCACTCACCTGCTGGGGGGATATCGGACCCCCTTTGTGTGTGTGTGTGTGTGTGTGTGAGAGAGAGAGAGAGAGAGAGAGAGAGAGAGAGAGAGAGAGAGAGAGAGAGAGAGAGAGAGGGGTTCAAATCATACTTGCAGCGGGGTGCGGCACAAGTGATGCGTCGCATTAAAAAAGTAGAAAAACAAAAATGTCCTAGTTGTGTCCAGCCTCTTTTCGGAAGGATCCCTACAGCATATTAGCTATGACCCGATGTCATGAAGAGGTACACTTCAAACTTGTACTCCCTGAGGGTGGGCAGAGAATATGTACTCTGGATTCGAATTCAGGTCTGTGCATGTCGGTTATGGGTCACTATTTCTCTGTTTTCTCACTTTTCTTTTCTTTTCTTTTCTCGTTTTTCTTTTCTCAGGAATACGTGCAGTGGCCCTAAGGGCCTCTACTCACCAAATGCACAGAAGACAAAACATATGGTTGCGTAATATTCCACGTTCTGCAGAAGATTCATTCTAATTTTGCACATTTCGTGAGTAGTGCAGCCAAGCCCTAAGAGTCACGTGCAGAGACCAACAGGGCCTAGCTATGTGAGCAACCCATAACTGCTGAAACACAGACCTGAGTTCGAATCTTGAGTATATATTCGGCTAGCTCGTGCTCTATTTCATATTCACTGCCTGCCTCGATTTTGGTGGGGGGGGCTGTGCTACATGTCTGCGAGGACCCTTCAGATAGCCTGCATGGGCCGTCTGAGCCGTGTTAAGGGGATCCGTTCTCTCTCTCTCTCTCTCTCTCTCTCTCTCTCTCT